TCCGCTGACCAACACATATATACCCCCTAATAAATAAATGTAACTTGAAAGAAAAATGTAAAGAAAGGCAATAGGATCTAGCCTATAAGACACAGCTGGAGGTTAGAAATACAGCCATAGCAAGAAGAGCTGAAGGAGGTTTTTAAAAAAACGTTAAAGACGGGACGGCTTATTTGTAGTATATGCATGTGCATGTTGAGTGAGGCTGCCTGTGGAGGTCAGGGGCAACAGATCCCAGAGCTGGAGTTACAGGGTATGAGCTGGGTACTGAGAATTGAATGCAGGTCCTCTAGAAAAGCAATATTGCTGTTAACCACTGAGCCATCTCTTCAGCCCCTGGGGAAGGAGTCTTAATGTTGTGAAGGTGCAAAGCATTGTGGCTGTCTATGCACATGCATGCACACACACACCTACACATACACACATATACAGAGTAGATGCTCACAAATCCATAGAGCAATGGTGGCTGTCATAGGTAAAGAGAAATGCATTGCAATGTAATGTAACACATTCTATAGAAACCTATAGGTTAGGCAAACTGAGCAGCAGTGGTCAAATCTGCACAAGCTTTAGCATATATGTATGTGTGTGTGTGTGTGCTCATGATATTTGTTTTATATAGATTTATATCTATAGGGAATCTTTATATTCATCAAACAGGGCTGTGGGTGTGTTTAGGAGGTACTAGAGCCCACTCAAGCCCTTCACACACAAGGCAGATGCTTTTCAGCCTAGTTATATGTAAGAAAGCCAAAATGCTCTCCTTTGAAGACTAATATGCCCATCGGACAACTGGTTGGTTAGTTGATTGAGACAGGCTTTAGCATGTACCCCTGGCCAGTCTGGAGTTTGCTATGTAGACCAGGCTGACTTGGACTTAGAGGTCATCCTGTCTCTGCTTCCCAGGTGCTGGGGTTACAAACATGCACCACCATGCCTGACTAGACTGATAAGTTTTTAAATACAAAGTGAGAAAAATAAGGGAGAAGTGCAGGGATTTTCCAAAGAATGTGGCGGGCAGCTACAATCTAGCACCTTTCCAGTTGGAATGTGGATGTATTTGGGGGGAGGAAAAATGCCAGGCTTGGCATAAGTGGAGATTAAAGGAACTTTGGACTGGCAAGATTGCTCAGTGGGTGCCTGACTGCAGCCTGATGACTTGAGTTTGAACCCAGGACCCACATAGTAGAAATATAGGGCACAGAATAGATGGCTCCGCCATGAAGAGCACTTGCAGTTCTTGCGGACTGCAGAGGCCCTGTTCATTTCCCAGCATCCCCCAGCTCCAGGTCCAGACTCTGACAGTGGGTTAATTGGGACATGACTGAAGGGACAACTTACCATGTTCAGCCAGAGGTCCAGCGACCGTGCATCAGGGACAGGTGGTGGCTGGTGTCTGACAAGCAGGGTGATAAAGAGGAATGACGGTCTGGACACACCGACTGGCTAAGGACATGGGAGGGGCATTTTCACCAGAATGGCAGTGGGAGTCCTCACCATGGCTTCACTTTCTTGGGGTCAAAGCTAGAGTCTTAAGTGAGGCAGGAAAGCTGGGGTCCTCGAGTGTAGCTCCCATGTTAGTGCCTTTTATAGCCACCAGGGGGCCTGAGAGAGAAAGCACCACCACCTTATGGCCCATGGTGGTAGGAGCGAGGCAGCCTGGACAGAGTCAGGGATGTTCTGGACCAGAAATGAGCCTGATGAGCAAAGGGAAACAGCAGTCCCAAGACTGGGAGGAAGGCGCAGTTGTGTGCACATCTTCATGGTATCATGGCCGGACTAACTTTCTCTCGCTCCCTGGAGGAAAGGCTAGAGGCTTGGGTTCACAGCCTTCCAATCCACCTTGTTCTAGCTACTGAAGGTGCTTGGTGGTGGGCCAGCCTGCTTCTCCTTGACATGCTCCTCAGAGGGTCAATGCGGGGAGCAAACCAGAGGCCACAGGACAGTGGGTTCACACCAACGTGTTTCTGCTTGTGCCACAGGCGAACATCAGTGCACATACTGCACCTATGTGCATACACACCACTCCGTGGCCACCAGTGTGCTTTACACACACACCCACAGCCCCAAGGAAGTGGGGCATTAGGGTGAGGAAGATGGAGACGTTTATTTCAGGTTGAAGGAGGTACTAGGCCCTACCTCAGAGTCAACCCAGGCCATGCCTACTCCCTGAACTCTGGCCTGGCCCTCCCCTCAAAGCAGCCACTCACAAACATGGGTGAGTATTCACGTTGGTGAAGACTAGTGTCAGGCTGAGCCTAGACTTGGCCCTTCTGGCTTCTTTGGTCATGGAGGCCATAGGGAGTGGCTGGCCCTAGCCTGTCTAGAGGCGTGGCTCTTCCCCAAGCCTAGGGAGGTAGGGCATCACCATTGTGCTTTTACACCTAGTGGAGATTCACCCGTACCTGTCACTTCTGTAGCAAGGCTAAGCCCAGTAGGATGGGACCGATGCTACAGTGGATGCTGGGTGCTCCACCCCAGTCTAGCACCAGCCGAGCAGAGGAAGGCATGGGGCTTCAGCACCAGGCTGGGGGTGCTGTTGGAGAGACCTAGCTTGGCCGTAGTCAGCATGGAGGCTGCCTTTCTGGCCTGTAGATCCCCAAAAGGGAGGTTTTCAGGGACTGGGATCACCACCCCAGATTCTCCACTGTGTCTAAGCTCTCAGAACCCTGTGGTCAGGCTAAGCCCTGTAAGGTGCAGCTGTTAACATTTCTGACCCCACAAGCAGGAGCCCCAGCTTTGCTGCGACACTCTGGCTAGTAGACAGATGGGTCAGAGCTAAGGACAGACCCGAGGCCAGGCTCCACACACCTGTTATACCTTGGGATTTCACTGAGACAAGTGGCTGTGACCTGAGCTCAGGTGTAAACCCAAGTTTTAAAGAAATAGTTTAATGTTATTTAAAAACTCCCATCATAACATTTCTGCTGGCACCTCAGGTCACCTTCCACCAACACTGTCCTCTCTGACACGGGCCCTTCCTGTCTCACTTGGGAAAGAGGGGTGGATCTGGGAGGTGGCCTTGTGATATCTTCAACGAAGGCAGCAGTCCTTTATCACCCTTGGCCTGGGTGTGGCTCAGGTGGCAATCGAGGAGCCAAGCTGGACTCCTACCAGAATGTAGGCCCCTGGAGCTTGCCTCAAAGCCTTCCGAGAAAGCAGGTGGAATGTACAGATGTCCCGTGTTCTGCACTCAACCATGAGGCTGTGGGAAGGCCCAAGGAACGGAGCTGTGTCCTACTTCCTGGGGCTAGGTGGGAGGACTGGAGCTGTGTCCACAATGGCTGCTGAGCGGTTCAGCTACACGTCTGTCTCCACCCGGAGCCGCTCCATCCTGCGCACGTTGCCCTCCACTGCCACGCGGCTGGTGATGCAGCGAGCAAAGCTCTCGGGGAACCAGCCCGTCTCTCCATCCCGAAGCCGCTCTCCGTGCAGCCAGCCTGGAAGCAGAGGGGTAGATGAGAGGGATCCCTCTCATCCCACCTCTGCTCTCGAGGGCTCTAGGGCCTGGGTGACTATGGGAACTGACCACCCCTCCTGCCTTGAGAGAGAGCCAAGGAGGCATCGCTCAAGGCCACATGGGCTCCTGGCCACCCACTTCACCAGCATGACCTGGGCCCTGTAGAAGCCTAGGCCGGGACCACCAGGAGCAGACACGCGTTCGCTTCACTTAGGGCTCAGAGTGAACTCACTTTGGTCCCATGACTCCAGTACTTGCAGTCCTCCCTCTGAGGAGACTGAGCGTGGTGTGTTTATGCGCGTGTATGGATCCACATACACCTATGTGCTTTGAGGCCCAAAGACAACCCTAGTTCCTCAGGTGCTGCCCACTGTCTTTTGAGATAGTCTCTCATCATCATGGAGCTTGCCAACGAGGCTAGGCTGCTGGTCAATGAGCCCTTGAGATTTGCATGTCTGCTTCCCTGGCAATGGGATGACACAATCATGTGCCACCATCCCCAGCTTCCTTTTATGTGGGCTCTTGAGTTCAAAATCAGGTCCTTGTGCCAACTGAGCCATCTCCCCAGCCCCGTCCTTTGAGGAAGTTCTCGCTGCACCCCAGTACACTCTGCACCCTTGTCTGGTTGACACGCACTCAGGTGTGACACATCCACACTCACCGTCCTCTTCCTGTAGGACCAGGACAACGTCAGCCTGCTGCAGTGTGATCTCATCAGCCTGTTTGGCAAAGTATGCCTTGGTGATCTCCACCTGGGGTAGGTCTGGGGGAAATACAGAGAGCTAGGCCAGTACTCTCCCACAGACACATGGCGTCAGCTGTCCCAGCAGAAGACGGACAGCTTCCCTGGGATGAAGACTGGCCTTCCAGGGGTGCAGGACAGACCCCTGGCACCTGCAGATGGACGTCTCCCTGAAGAGAACAGCCAGGGCCCGAGGTGACATTCTGATGGGCTAGCCTGTTCTGTTCCTTTGGCCTCAGTTTCCCCAGCTGCAGGACCTCGGGCCTCTTAAGGACCAATAAGGTTAAGCTGTGGCTACATGGACACAGTCACAACTACATACAGGGGCCAGTGCCCAAGCAAAGTACCCCGGGGAAGCCGTGTGTGGCCTGCCATCTAGACAGACCAGCTGTACCCAGGGCTGCAATCCTGCACACCCCACACTCACCTCCTTTGTTGGTGAGGCCCTGCCACTGCCTTTCCTTGTAGGTGAGGGCTGTGATCCACCGGGCCCGCTCACTCCTGGAGGCCACAGAGAGCATAGTTGAGACCCTCCTTCCTTCTTGGGGTCCATGAGCCCATTCTACGTCCCGGGTTCATTGGCTCCTGACATCATCCTGTTGCCTGACAGCAGGATGCTCCTGCCTCAGGGCCTTTGCACAGCTGTGCTCTGGCTGGGCACTCCTCTGTTTGCTGCCTCACTCCCTCTGTCCCTTGGGCTTTTGACCTAAACACCACCTTGACCATGATGAAGGCCCATTGATCACATCCACACTCATCCTTTTCTCCCCCTTGAAGCTCCCTCCCTGGTTACTGGACAGTACAGCCATTCATCAGTTGGTGTGTTCCCACGAGGAAAACAAATACCCAGAGACAGGCTACGTTCTGCTTATGGCTCTGCCGGGCACAGGCAGTGCTCAGCATATAGAGGCTCTCAGACACAGTGCGGCACATCCCGTCCTCATGGGGCTCCTGTTTGCACATGTGCTCCCCTCCCGTTGGGTTCCACCATCTTACGCAGAGTCCGAGGACAGCAGAATCTGCTCCTGGCGGCCCTCACTGTTGCGCAGCAGGTTCACTTGGAAGGGGTGGGGCACTGAGGAACTGCGGGTGCTGCCTCCTGGCAGGGAGGGCTCTGAGGCCTCCAGCTTCCTGACCTGGACCTGGTCTAGCTGTGCGTAGTCTTGGACCAGGTAGCTTTCCTCACTGTGGGGACACAGGAGAGTCGTCAGTTAACCTTAAGAGTGCTCCTAAGACTTGTCTCCTGGGCCTGGAGACAGCTTCCATGGTAAGAGAGGGAAACCCAGGCCTGCAGAAAGCAGAGATCTGGTTCTGTATAGAGCCGTGTGGCCACCCCAGATCAAGTGAGGTGTACCAATGAGTGTCAACCAAAGTTGGAGGGGTTCAGGGCCACTCCACTCCCGGCTGCTCTCTCGCCTGACATCTGCAGCCTAGTGCCTACCTTTTCTTCTTGGTGACAACCAGGACATCGTTGAACAGGAACAGGTAGCATGTGGGTCGGCTGGCAATTTTCCTAAAGATGCTGGATTCCTCCAAGAGGAAGAGCTCTCCACGCTTCAGGAGCCAGCGAGAGGCAGAGATGAGCGGGAGGGACTGGGGACAGAGTGGACAGATGAAGGAAATGGACACGGCAAGGTGGAGGTGATGGGACAACCCTGCCTCCCTGGACTGAGTTTGCTGTCCCTGTTAGGACTAAGCGGAGAACCAATGGGATATTCCTGAACCCATGCAGCTGGCCCACAGGTACCAGCGTGGGCCCTGTTCTCCCCTACAGGAGAGCCTTGAGCGGCCCCAATTCTCTGGGCACTTGCTGAATGTTCTGCCTAAGCTGAGGGTGGGAGCCAGTCCTGGAGAGGCCTTGATACCCCCCTTCCCCCTGAGTCAGGGCAGGTCAAGGGGTCCCCCAACCTCCATCCCCAGAAGCCTCTGACTCCTAGGATGAGGACAACAGTGAGGTGGGTGGGTTGGCAAGGCACCTACCTTGACCTTACCAAAATCCAGCTGTGTGTGCAGCGTGTACATCTGCTCTGTGCGCTCCATTTTGTGGGCCCCCTCGTTACACTGCTTCACCAGCTGCAGGGTTGAGTTTACATGTATACCGCAGGCACGGATGGAGGACTGTGGATGTTCCACAGAGTGCCTGCCCCCCTGGTGGCACTGGATCTAGTCCCTTTTCCCATCGGTACCACAAAAAGTTCGCCTCACCTTGCTGAGGGCCTTCAGGGCACGGCTGGCAGCTTTACACCTTTCAGGATGGCCCTGTGTCTTCAGGCAGAGTGTCTGGGGGAAGACAACAGCTGTGAAGCACCCAATCCCCTCCCAAGGAGCCCTGCATGGGAAGGGGCTTCCCACCAGTTCCAGACTCTGGAAGTCAGGGAGGGGCCTCAAGGCAAGCAAGGACTTCCAGAGGGCTCCTGTTTGGACCCACCAGTGTGTCTACAGTCCACATATGGCCTCTGCACCTCTGGGGCCAAGCCAGGGAAAGGGAGCTAGCACCACACATCCGGCCCTTTCCATCCTGGGGAAGAGCAGTATTTCTGCAGTTCCAGGGCCAAGGGTATATGGGCACTTACCTAAGTATGTGTCTACAGGCTACAGTATCATGTTACCGACCGCAGAGCGATCAAGATTAATCACACTGTCTTATATGCACTGTAATTATCCAATTACAGATGTAGGAGTGTGGAGAAAGAGGTCAGAGAGGCAACTCTGAAGGCAGGGCCTCCAGGGGTGTTTGTATGGCTGCACCCAAGCCTCTTAGATGCTCACATCTGTCAGGAGTGGCAGCCGGGTCACCCTCTGCATGGGGAGAATCAGGAAGGAGATCATGGGCAGGCCTCCACACGTGGGCCGTTTCTCAATCTCCCTTAGGGCTTCTCGGAAGGCTGCATTGCTGTTCCTGCAACAGGGAAACATCAGGACTTCAGAAGGAGGCTGGGCAGGTGGACCTGCGTGAGGAAGGCTGGGGGCAGAAAGGCCCACTCACGACAACTTTTGCAGGGTGCGCTGCTGGTAGACCTCGTTGGAGCAGTAGGCAATGTAAGGGTGGAAGTGCTTCTCTGCGTGGTCCTCCAAGATGTCACTGATGTCCTCCACACACACCTGTGCCTTGTGCCGCTGCTCCAGGGCTTCAAAGAACCTGCAGCATTGAAGTGGGGAGTGGTTGGGGAAGTGAAGGCACAGTTTTGGTGGGTGTGTGCACACACCTACATACAACACATGGATGCAGACAAAAATGTCTGCACAGATCAGTCTTGGAGGCAGTACATGGCAGGTGCCCAGTGGGTCAGGCAGAATGTTGTGTAATCTCGACCACATTTGTCCAACGCCCTCAGGGGACCCGCCCCCCATGACAGATCAGCTCTCCACACTGCCTTTGTAACATCCAACCCTATGGCTGTCCCTGGGTGTGAGGTTCAAGGACAGAGATGCAGCGATCCTATGATGCATTGGGGTCTTAAAAGACCCAGGAAGAGCCATGTCTGTCTAGGAATGGCCCTTGAAACTAAGGTGATTCTGCCAGCCAAGCTCCCTGCCAGGCTTCACAACTATCCACTTTCATGGAGTCCAGGCCATAGTGGACAAGTGAGGAGGTCCTGGAGAGACTGCTAGCCTCTGAGCCAGGCAGGATGATGACAAAGTGAGCAAATGAACCAGAGTTCTCTGGGTGTTGGCAACCTGGTATGTGGGACCAGTGGCTGGTCCTGAGCTATACCCATGTCTCTAGGCCCTTAGGCAGCTGGAAGAACTCTGTCCATCTGAGAAGACTCTTCCAGGCTTGCATGTGAGTATGGGTCCTTAGAACTCAACAGACCCTCTACCCACATGGATCCCATTTCCTATAAGAAAGTGCACTCTAAAGTCACTGGCCCTTGGGAAAAGTTGTGTAACTAATAGAGAGCCTCAGAAGCACATGGGCCCCATGGATGAACGGAAGCTGAGGCTGCCTGCACACACCCACCATGCACAAGTAGGCAAGCCAGGACACTCAGTTGAAATGCATGAGCCCTAGGTTTTCCTGGAAAGGTCTGGAAGGGCCAGCCCCCCACTACTGGCCCAAAATAGCACCAATTCTCAAAGGAGATCACTATGAATGGCTAGGGAGGAGGCTAGAGAGTCCCACACCAGGGCAGCAATGGCCATGCTGAGCAATTAGAGGCTGCATAGCATCCAGGGACCACACGGGGCACAGGAGCCTGCATGAGGGTCACCCACTTTCCGGGACCCCTCCCCTCCTCCGATGAGTCAGGAGTGAGTAGTTCCCACAGTTGGTTACTGAATCTCTTACAGGAAGTCCTTGTGTCCAGGGATAGGACAGTCCTCTGTTCCCTGTCTAAATGAAACTTCCTGAGGTAGAGAGGACATCACAACAGACTCTGGGTGGGCTCAACAAGGGCCAGGCTGGTCAGCCAGCATCCTATGTTTGGACGGCCCAGCCTGTGAACTAGCACCCTGTGACCTGTTCTTCTCCTGACACCACTGAGGCCCAGGAGAGGACCTCAGGCACCAGCCTCATCAGCGAAGCCAAGGCTAAAGGACAGGGAGGCCCGGGGTCTCCTGGACTACAGCAGCAGCAAGGGCTGATCCCACACACAACATGACTGGATGGTGCTAAAGACGTGAATACATGCACAGATACAGGCATGAGCAAACACATACAGGCA